TTTGGAGCAGAATATAGTTGGGATTTTAACTAAAGTTAAGGAAAAAGAAGACCAAGAAATTACTTATTGAGAAAAAGATGAACCACAAGAATTACTAAACAATATCAAAAAGGGAAATCTAGTTCAAACTGTCATTAGAGTTATTAAAAAGTGAAAGAGGGATGCTAAAGTTCATTTTGAATTTATTAATGCTGTAGAAGAATTTAATGATGAAGTAAAGGAAAAGTTGAATGAGGAAATAACAGATAAAATAAAAGAAGTGAGGAAAGCAAAGGAGAAAACAGAAAAGTCAGAAAAGTGGTTTGCTAGCGGACTGATTGGGCTCAACCAAGTTAGACAGTTAGAAAATAAACACTACCTAACAGTTTTAAAGAACAATGAAGAGTCTCAAAACATCAAAGTGCAAGATTTAGAAAAGCAAGTGTTGGATAAAACAAGAGAAACAGAGGAGAGAAAAAAAGAAGCGGAAGTGGCTAATGATATGCTTAATTCTCAAAAAGAATTAATTAACAATTTAAGGCGGGAGTTAGGCGAAAAGATGGCTAAACTAAGTCTAGTTAGTGAGGAAAGCAAGAGACAAAAAACCTTGATAAATGATTTAAAGGAGGGTTTAGAAAGCGAGAAAGACAAAACTAAAAAGTTAGAAGAAAAAGTTGATTTAATCACTAAACTTTTCACTAAAAACTTGCCTTCTTTGCCTAAAAAGTCAAACAAACTTAAAGTGCTAGGAACAAAAATAAAAGCCAAGTCTCAGCAATTAATCAAAAAAACTAAACAACAAAGTCAAGAATTGGTTGCTAGAATAGAAGTTAAAACTAGGTAATTTTTATGAAGTAAATAATTACTAATGATTTATTTTACTCATAACTTGTGGCTTTACTAATCTTTTTATCCGGAATCATCCTTGGTCTACTCTGAGCAGGTTTTAATGGCTGATTATTCTTTCGAATTGCCAAAATAAATTGTCCGCAGTGTAAGCGCCACACATAAAATTATGCCAGGACTAATTCATACCGTTTTAGAATTAGAATGAGAATTTAGGAACAGAAATTGTGATTTTTGTTCTAATCTTTACGGAGAGGATAATAGGTCTGTTAATTTAATAAAAACGCGTTGTGAAACAACTAATGAATTGATTGCAGTTAATTGTGTTTGTGAGGATTGTAAAGAGAAATTTTTAAATGACGAAATACCAAAATGTGAAAGATGTGGAAGATTACAAAATGAAACAGACATAAATTTATTAAAATATGGTCATAAGTGTAAGTGTGAAATGAAGAAAAAAAACTCCCGGCTGTACCTTATGAAAGAGAAAGTATGACTACTTTCTACGAACGACAAATAAATAATTTGCGGGAAGAATTAGCCACTGCTGAGGAAGCCCTAGAAATTGAAAGAGAAGAAGTAGCCAAATTTCAAGAGAAATCTGAAGAGTGAAGTAAAAGACAGAAGCAAGAGTTATTAGATAAGATAAAGAGTTTAGAAGAAAAAATTAAACAGTTAGAAGAGGAAAACAAATTATTGAAAGGGCAGCAGAATGGTCTAATTGCTCAAATTGAAGTTAAAGAGAATAAGAGATGATCTTGATTAAAAGTAAAGAAGTAATTTAAAGATTGGTAAATTTCATAAGTGATTTTTTCTTGATCTAGATATGCCTGGAGAGTTTGGGTATCATTGATTTTAAAAACATAGGGAGCAATTTTTTCTCCTTGAGCTTTTTTTAGAATGCTTCTAATAGTGCTGTAATTCTTGGGTTCCATGGTGGATTTAATGTAAATTAGTTTCATATTAATATTTTTATATATAGAGGTAATCCTATATTGCTCCTGTTATGGTTTATATTCCTCACCTTCTGGTATGATAAAGGGAACATTAAATTAACAAGTTCATGAGCACCATTCTTACTTCAAAACGTCATCAATCACACTGGTCAATTTAAAGCCACATCATAACCAGCCCCTAATTTATAGAATGTTCACTTTGTCTGGTTTTGTTGCAGTCTGCCCCAAATTACATCAAATCGACTATGGAACCCAAGAATTACAGCACTGTTAGAAGTATTTTAAAGGTGAAAAAATTGCGCCTTATTATTATGTTTTTAAAATCAATAATTATAATACCCAAACCCTCCAGGAATATCAGATCAAGAAAAAATCATTTGCGAAATTTATCAAGAATAAGAAAAATTGAAAAATTGAAAAATAATAAACAGTAAACGAGCATCATCACCAACTTATAATGAACCAAGAAAGAAAAGAAAATTGGTAGAATAAACAATTAAATCATTATTAGTAACTATATGAACAGATTGCATGAGTCAACTATGCACATTCAGAAAAAAGGAGGCCTTTGGCCTTTGGTCTCAGAACAGAATATAAATAGAAAAAGATGTCTATGGTTTGTTAAATTTCTAAAAAGCTTTACTATTACTAGTGAATGGAATAACATGATATAGTAATAGTATTAGTGATAAATCAAGACATGTTCTTTTTGATAATTATTTATGTGGAGAAAACCAAGTGAGAAATACCAAGTTGATTGTTTAATACCAACATTCAAACAGTCTTCAGGTATTATGATATGAGGTTGTTTTACAAGGAAAAGGTCGGGTCTTTAGCCATGCTTGAGGGAAGAGCCGCGAAACAAACTCTCCAAGACCACCTATTACTGTTCATATAGTCATGATATAGCAAAAAGGGAAAACCAAAAGCATTCGATTGCACATTTTATAACTTGGTATTTCATTCTGTGTCGAGGACTGCACTCGTTCATTTTTTTCAATATCAATTTTCGCGTTTTTAATATTTTCGTAACTGTAGCTGTCTAGTTATAATGATAGAGAGCGCAAATTAAATATTAACTCTGATCCTATTCTGTAAGAGCAGACTCTATCCCTTCGCTATCGATTATAGAATAAGCTCTTTTTATTTTCACACCCAAGGTACGAACTTATTTTTACCTCTAGATCAAAGAATTTTTAGTAAACTTGATCTCTTATACTTCGGAGACGCGCATAATACTTGTTGAAACTCGCTGAACGCATTCCGGTACAAGGAGTAAAGGAGCGTGTCGGGCTGATTCTAACTTGTAATGCTAGCCGGGCGACATATTACATAGTTGATTGTTAAAAATCCAGCCGGAATTGGAACCCAATGCTGAAATGGAATCGACGTCAACCCATAAAACAATCAGCCGAAAAACAAATCAACATCGGATGAAATTTCCAGGCACGAAGCGCCTGTGCTCCAGGTCTTGTCATTCCGAATTATTTCGCGAAAGTTGGTTGTTTTAAAGATCAGGTCAGACTTTGCACATGCATTTGCAAATGAAATCGATATGCCTGCTTTCACAAGTGCATCTATGCAACATTTGACACTTTGTCAATACGAACAGTTTAATCTAACTGGTAAACACTGGAATCTTGCGTTCAAGAATAAAAATTTATTACGTTTCACGCTCGTAAGCATTTTTAATATAGATTCAATAGATGCACTACTATTAAGGCAGACACGTTCTATTTACCCTCCTTCTCCAATCTCTCCAGATCTTGTAACATATGATCCGGCCCAGATACTTTATAACTCAATGCTCCAGGCTCTTCGAGGTTAAAAATCTTTACAACACCATCACTAACATACATGGAGAATCTATACCCACGAATGCCAGAGAAAGGGAGCTGCTGAGTGAGACCGAGGGCGGAATGGAAGCTCGCATCTCCGTCAGCAAGCATTAGGATTTTGCCACCTACGTTATGGTTGCGTGCCCATTCACGGAGAACGTATGGGTCTTTGGTAGAATGAATTCGAATTATATAATAAAAATATTATAATGTAAGAATGAGCGAAAATGTCATGGAATAAAGCCTAATTCATTCTTTTCGATTCGTCAGTGGGACTGCAGAAAACTCTTTACCATTCACTGCGGTACATGCAACAACATTGACACCTTTCTGATTTAACTTGTCGTATCTGTCATAATACTGGGGAAGATGCTTCGAGCTGCAGACCGATGTAAATGCACCTGATGACAAGAACACACGATCCGTCATTCTGGTTACAGACTTCGCAATAACTGGTATTCATTGTCTCCTTACCAGGAATCCCAAACAAGACAACATTCTTCCCGCCAAACACTTCTTTTACAGTGATTTTTCTAGGTTCCTCCTCTCCTTCATTTAGAACTCCAAAATACAGGTCCTCAGGGAGTCGATCCCCAACAGATATTTTAGGTTTTTGTCCCGAAGTCGCAGTCATTTGTGATTCAGACAAGTCTGGGATAGGTGATGTTATATATTCGTTATATATTCACAGTAGATGTCATAGTGATGTATTAATGATACTTCGTGTCAACGAGGGGAATATCCATATTTTTATTCGGAAATCAGACTATGATGAAAGCGGTTAATTCTAAAGTGAGGCGTTCAGAGTTATTAAGATGGGGAATGGGTGTTTTGGGGGCTCCCCATTTAAATGAATAAACTATACAATATTCTTCGACAAACAATTTTCTATCCACCAATCCAAAATATTGGATCAACATTCCCTTCAATTACAACTCGTCTTTCGCTGCCTCTTCCTTCTTCTTGTTCAAATGCGGACATTTGGTCACATCCCCATGTCCCTCCGCGCCGTGCTTAAAATGCGGACAGTTGTTGACGTCTCCGGGCGTCTTCTCTTTGTCATGTGCGTGCGGACATTTACTCATATACGGACATCCATCACCCAAGACGCCGTTATTATCATCAAATTCCTTCCTGAGTTTCTCAAAGTATGGACATTTGTCCTTTAGCGGGCAGGCTGAATTTGACCAGTCAACGGAAGGAAGTGGGGAATGAGAGATCAAAGACGAGTAATACGGACACTTTGTCGAGAGCGGGCAGCCTGGACTTGACGGAGTCGTCGATGAAGAGGGGGGTGAGTTGATAAGGATTATGGTAAGGATCAGTAAAAACGAACAAGCGAACTTGAGTGAGGGATACATTAGATTTCTGGATGCGAAGGTTTTGCAGGTAATACGCACGACAACAGGTAATACTAAACCTTCTATCGCATGATACTGCGATATTTTATACATTCACATGTGATGTATACGGAATGTTACACCATATCCGTTCCGACAAAAAAAGGCAGTAGAGCGGGGCCGGGCATTTTTTAATTTGAAAAGCGTAAGATCAAATCAATACGCCAGCAAACAACTGCTCAACAAATAAACAAAGCGTGAGACATTTCACATAGTTTCAAATAGTTTATTTATATGACATTCTTTTTTCCCAAGCAGCGGACGACTGTCCCCAAATTCTCACGTCATATTATTACGCGTCTGTTAGATACCTTCGAGGTTCAATGTTCGAATCAACAGAAGTATAATTTACTAGCTTTCAATACGAACATGACGCCACGGAATATTGGTGCGGTGCCACAGATTTGTTTCCAGATATTAATATCAGTAAGGATTTTGCAAATTCAGCAGATTACCTATTTCTTCCTGGAATTCTTTTTTTAAAATGGAACATAATTAATTAAGATTTTTTCTACAATAACTCTGGTATGGCCAGTCAGCAAGTTCAAGAAAGATATTCTGTCCAAATTGTGATTTTATGATATGTAAGCTATCAGTGACGCTGCTTATTACTGCAAAATGAACTGACTGCTTATTTATTACATGAAACTTTCAAGCGACAGAATAAGCAAGAATGATGCCTAAACAAGGAAACCCATGCTAATCAGAGAATGTAGTGTAATAATACCAAAAACGCGTTGCCAACTCGAACGGCCTGCACCATATCATCGCGTTATGGATGGATTGTAAGGGGAATTGAGATTGCACTTTATGACCGAATTGCTTTGCGCGGCATTGCGCTATCGTGACGAACAACACTATTTCAGCAATGCATCAATCTATAGCATAAGACATCCAGTTTTGGGTGTTTCCGTAAATTATGTTCCTTACTAATCTGGCATACTTTGTGCGTGTTCATATAATGTTGACGCCTTATATTACCGGATCCTTTGGCATTCTCGTAGTATATTTATGACTTGGCGATACATAGGATGTGGGCGTTTAATTATGTAGCCTGCAAGCAATTTATTTACATACCTCACAAGCATGGTATTGTCCCAGTTCATTTGAAAGCATTCCTACATTACGAATTACGTTGACGGGAAAACGACTGAAACGAATAAATTTATTACATATGTGCGAAAATGCATTTATATTGTTCTTATTGCTCGAATGTTGGGACGAATAAGAAATTATCCAAGCTTTTGTTTAAGTAGTGCTCTCAGAGTGGTAGCATCTTCAGCAAACTTGCGAATCCCCTCAGAAAGCTTTTCGGTAGCCATTGCGTCCTCGTTCAAGGCCCATCGGAAGGATTTCTCATCAAACGTAACCTTTTCTTCTTTCGTAGCAGCAGCTAAACATTTTACAACCAACATCATTAGTTTATTGCCACGCTTGAAAGATAATAATTATAATTGATGCTATACATTCTTTCTTCTTATGCCGTCCCCCAACCTACCTTTTTCAGGACTCAATTTCCTCTCAATAATGTCATGAGAATCTTTAAGTGATGCCAACAATGCGGGACTAATAGTTAAAAAGTCGCATCCAGCCAATTCTATGATTTCGCCAATGTTTCGGAACGATGCACCCATAACTATAGTCTTATAGCCGTGATTCTTGTAGTAATTATAGATGCGGGTCACGGAACTTACACCTGGATCTTCGGCGGGAGCGTAAATCTTGCCGGTAGCTTTTTTATACCAGTCAAGAATACGGCCAACGAAGGGGGAGATCAAAGTGACGCCGGCTTCAGCACACGCCACGGCCTAAATGATAAAGGAGGAAATACAAGTTGTCTTGGGATCGTATTGATCAAAAGAAAACCATGTTGACAACTCGCTTTGTGTACGTTACTTACTTGAGGGAATGAGAACAACAAAGTCAAATTACAGTGTATGCCTTCACGTTCCAATTCCTCAGCGGCTCGAATGCCTTCCCATGTTGATGCAATCTTGATCAACACACGCTCTTTAGGAATTCCAACTTCTTTGTAAAGACCGATCAGACGTCTGGCCTTTGCGATTGTAGCCTCTTTATCAAATGAAAGCTTTGCATCAACCTCAGTAGAGACACGACCAGGAATGATTTTTAGGATTTCGACGCCAAAGTTAATAAGCTTTTAAAAGAGGGAAAAGACAAGAATTTGAATATTCAAATGTAATGGGTCGGACTTCAAGACTAGAAGGAATACGAAAACTCAGTTATACCAGTTTATCGATCGCCCATTCAACTTTATCGTCGGTCGTGCTAAATAGAGTTGAGAATACATGGTCGTTAGGGTGTGGGGGTATGAGATTTATTTTCAGTCTGTCGCAGATCGGTAATCCGCTTGCCCGTTTAGATATCTTACCCAGATTTCGTCTTTGCATATTCAATTGCAGAATCTATCAAGTGCTGATACGAACTCTTTTTAGTCGCATTCAATATCAATGACGGATTTGTCGTTGCATCTTGTGGCTTATATTGAGCGATTGCTGTTTTATAGATATGGATGAATAGATTGATTGTAAATTTTCATCAAACGTGCTAAAATCAGCGAACATTTCTTTTATTAACAATAAAGTGATACTAACATTCGAAATCTCCAGTGTCTGAAACAATAACTGTCCACTTTTTGATCTGGTCGAGAACGGAAGCCATTATGGTGACAAGTATGCGTAAAGACAAAAAGCGAGGATAGGATATTTATACAAGATCAGTTATGAGATCATCAACCAGCCCTGCAATGATGTAATCACTATGAAAAGCGAATTTCATTAACTTGTGTTTCATATTCGTTATATTGATTATCAAAAACCCCAAATATTGAACAGGGATCTTCAATACTATTTATTAGTCATCAATCGAATCCAATCATGTCAAAGGGCGTGCGACAAAATATTAGTAATGTTTAAACTACACGAAGATCTTCAAAATACGATACCAAAGTGTGACAAATGATACTGTACGTGTACAAAGCAACAACCGATTACGATTTCTTCCGTATTAAAAGTGATACATCGTATTCCTTCAAAAAATTTTATTATATAATAATACCGGCAACAGTATCTCAATCATTCTATACAATAATAATAATATAGCTCTATACAGGGCTGAGACATAAACACATGCCCGTCAAGAAAGAAAGCAGGAAAGATTCTAAAATAAATTTTATTAAATTCTCTAATACATCAGTCTTAAGCTTTCAACAACAGTTGAGACTATTAGCTTTGTAAGTTTTGCTAATTCAGGTGCAAAACAGATGCCTTCACGGGCAGTAAGTGGTATTCTTGCAAGTGTCTGCATTATTAAGACGTGTAATAAAATTTATTGGTAAATTCATCAAATTTACATTCGATGGACAAAAGTTTGAATCCAAAACTTTTATGACATTTATTTTAGAAATTCACTAAACCAAATTTTATGAAATTTATATCATTCGAAAGCTCTACTTCTCCTGTATACTTTTTATTATAACTATATTTCGTAAAAATTTAAAATAAACGTAATAGTAAGACAAAAAATTACGTCACACTAACCATTTTATTCAGTAAGCTGAAACCTTGGTCAAGTTTGGATCCAAAACTTTTATGGCGTTTATTTCAGAAGTTTACTAAACAAAATTCAATAAAATTTATATCATTCAAAAGCTCTACTTTTCTTGTATATTTTTGCTAATGACAATACTTTCCTTTTTGGGTTTGTTATTGTGATGTACAGTGCCCTCCAATAAATGAGTGAGTAACACAAAATTTTGCAAATTATACATCAAGTTCGCGCGCATGTA